GATATTAGAATTATAAGATTATATTAATATTTAATTATATTAATTATTATATTATTATTAATATAATAAATATAATTATATCAATATAATATAATGTAATGATATTATTTTAATATTATTAATATAATAAATACAATTATATCAATACAATATAATATATAATATATTATAAAATAATATTACAATATAATATTATAATTATAATATCATATTATTAAAATAATTATAATATCATATTATATAATAAAATAATAATATTAGAGTTATTAATATAATTATGATATTATTTGTTATAATATTACTATTATATTATATTATATTATGAGTCTGAATTTTAGATTGAAAAGATTGTAAATTTTAAATTTCATTAGGGGTATTATGGGTATTATGAAAGTTTCATTAATTGTACTATGCTGATTTCCGCACAATCTAAAAGTTAAAGTTGTTTTTAGACTGCTTCTAATTTTGACTGTAGATTCTTGAAAAATTCTTCAAAAAATACTTTTAAGGAGATTTATCAAACACTAAAATTAACTTATACTACAAACAAAAACTGATTCTAAAAGGAAAAAGTAATACCAAACTAAGGCATATTCAGATACTCCGCTCCAATTCACAAGCCTAGCTTCAAAATAATAATAATAAACCGTGTCGTATCAACCCGCCAATATATATGTCGTGTTTGAGTTTTGTATTTTGACACAATTAATAAACATGTCGTGTTCGTGTCAGACCTATTCGTGTCAACTAAAGGGTTCAACACGACACAAACACGACTTGTCAGCACGAATTGCCACCCTTAGTTGTCGTGGTGGTTCTTGTTCAGAAGGTGGGTGTTTCGCCAGGGACTTTTGATTAATAAAGGAACGATAACAAACATTTTTTTTGAAAGATCTTCATTAGAGTAAAATTTTTAATAAAGTGTGTAAAAATCAATGTCAAATAAGAGTGAAACTGATATTTAGGTCCCATTCATTTTTACTGATTCAAGTTTAGAATTCGAGTTTTGCTACAGTAAAATATTCTCAAAAATAATCACATATAACTTTTTTACTACAGTAAAAAGCTCTCACATAAAGTCACATATCAACTCGAATCAACGAACTAAATGGGCCCTTATAGTATTATACATTGCTTAAAAACGTTTTCTTCTACATGGAGGGATATTTTTGGATTTTTTTTAAAAAAATAAACAGTCAACATTGATGGTCAAATGACGAAGGAGGTGTATGTGTAATTTTTTTTAAAGTCAAGAGTATTAACGTGATTAATTTCAATCAATAGATTGTCAATAAAATACATGAGGTGTCAGTGTTAATTGCCCATTTTTTAAACTCTTTTTAGCAATCGTAAACATAGTTTAAGAGTTTTATACTCCACTATAAAATTCTTAAAATTTGTAATCTTAGCTAATATAAGGCATAGAAAAAATGTATGTATTTCTAAAAAATTCAACTGTATGTATTGGACTTGTTTTCAAAATAAAAATATAAGTAAGGTCCTTGGTCAGACATTTGGAAATTGTCTGACCGGAATGACAGTTGTATAATTTTACATAAATTATGTATATTTACATGTAAAATCGTATATATTTACATATAAAATTATGTATAAAGTTATAAGTAACGACAATGTATATTAATCCTCGAAACATGTATTTTTTATAATAATAGCATGAAAATATATATATTGGATGATTTGTTGTATTTCATATTAAATATACACAATTTTACATATAAATATACATAATTTATATAAAATTATACAACTATCATTCTGATTAGACACTTAGAAAACAATTCCTAAAAATATATTGTACACAAAATAAAAATATATTGTACGCAAAGCAAAAAGTTTATTTAATCAAGAAGGGGTATTTATATGGATATATAGTGGAAGAGAATGGTGGTTTTTCTCTTCTTCTCTCGGGAGCTGTAGTTTCATATTCTTCTCCAACTCATCTCAATCACACCCCTAATTTATAAATGCTGTAATTCTCTTCCCCAAACCTTTTCCTTTTTCTTTTTCTCCCCTCATTTTCTTCCTTAAATCCCCTAAAAGATTACATATTTCTCTCTCTAACAAAATTGCAGTGGCAAATAGGGGGAGAGAGGTAGACAACTTGCTTTGAGGGTTTGGCTCTGCTCGCTTTTGCAATCCAAAGAGCAAACCTGAAATTCTCCACCGACCCTTCTCCAGCTTTTGTCTCCTCTCTCCCTCTTCCTTCCTTCCTTTCCCTCTATAACTATCTCTCTCTCTCTCTCTCTAAATCAATTAGAATGCAAATCACATTAAGGGCATGTGGTTGGATTCTCTGATTCCAATAAAAGCTTCAACTTGATTGTTCTGATATAGCCCCACATACCCTTTTCAGGTTTGAGATTAAGAGAAAAAAAACCGCCTTTGTTCTTCACTTTAATGCATTTATGATACCGGATTTTCTTTAGCTTTTCGATATCGCTTGGACTTGGATTCTTGAATTACATGTGATGTACATATAGGGAGAGAGATATATCATATATGTTAGCTAGAAAGAATTTCAATTCTTGTTTGAGTATTTTTAGGGTTTTTGGATTGCGAAAAAGATATTGGTTTCTGGGTTTGCTTGTGTTCCATTGGTGATTTTAGGATTTGGGTGTTTGAGATTAGCGGTTATACTCTTCTGGGTCTTTTTAGATTTGCGTAAACAGGTTATATAATTTGGGTTTTTTTAGAGGGTGAATGGTATTGGTTTGTGGGTCTGTGTAGATTGATTGAGATATGAGTCGTAGGGTTCGGAGGAAGGTGGCTCGGAAAGGGAAGGAAAAGGTAATCTTGCCTAGCTATCGCGAAATTGAGGATGAGGTTTCGGGTTTGGACCGAAGTGGGTTTGCGGATTGGACTAGTCTTCCTGATGATACAGTGATTCAATTGTTTTCATGTCTGAATTATCGTGACAGAGCAAGCTTGTCGTCAACATGTAAAACGTGGAAGGTTCTTGGGGTTTCGCCGTGCTTGTGGACTTCTTTAGATCTTCGCGCTCACAAGTGCGATGTTTTGATGGCAGCTTCGCTTGCTCCTAGGTGTGTGAATCTTCGGAAGCTTAGGTTCCGTGGGGCGGAGTCTGCTGACGCGATAATTCATCTCCAAGCTAGGAATTTGCGTGAAATAAGTGGCGATTATTGCAGAAAAATAACTGATGCTACACTTTCTGTGATTGTGGCCCGGCATGAGGTGCTTGAAAGCCTTCAGCTTGGTCCTGATTTCTGTGAAAGGATCAGTAGTGATGCTATAAAGGCAATAGCTCTTTGCTGTCCAGTATTGAAAAGGCTTCGGCTTTCTGGAGTAAGGGATATCAATGGTGATGCAATCAACGCTTTGGCCAAGCACTGTCTGAAATTGACTGATATCGGGTTTATAGACTGTCTGAACATAGATGAGATGGCGTTGGGGAATGTAGTATCAGTCCGTTATTTATCAGTTGCAGGGACTTCGAATATGAAGTGGGGTGTAGCTTCGCACCAGTGGCCTAAGTTCCCACACTTGATTGGTTTAGATATTTCAAGAACTGACATTGGCTCAACTGCTGTTGCGCGATTGTTATCATCTTCACCGAGCTTGAAAGTTTTGTGTGCCTTGAATTGTCCATTTCTTGAAGAAGATGTCAACTTTTCCAGTAGTAAAAATAAAGGAAAAATGTTGCTAGCTCTTTTTACTGATATTTTGAAAGATATAGGTTCTTTATTTGTCGATATCTCAAAGAAGGGGAAGAATGTGTTTTTGGATTGGAGGAATTCAAAAATGAAAGATAGAAACTTGGATGAAATCATGACGTGGCTTGAGTGGATCCTGTCCCATACTCTTTTGCGCATCGCTGAGACAAATCAACATGGCTTGGATGACTTTTGGCTCAAGCAAGGCGCAACACTGTTGCTGAATTTAATGCAGAGTTCTCAAGAGGATGTCCAGGAAAGGGCAGCCACGGGACTTGCTACTTTTGTTGTCATTGATGATGAAAATGCTACTATAGATTGTGGAAGGGCTGAAGCAGTTATGAGAGACGGTGGCATACGCCTCCTTCTGAACCTGGCAAAATCTTGGCGGGAAGGACTCCAGTCAGAGTCTGCAAAGGTAAATTTTTATGGGCATGCTGTTGGCTTGAACAACTATTGTTGTTCTATATCTTAGCTGTTTAACACAGTATAGTGCACGTTTTGGGCCTTGAGTCAATGTCAAATCTTCATTTGAGCATGATTGTTATGTGCAAAGTGCCAAACAAAGTAACTATTTTTCTTGTTTTGCTGCTTGTTTTGCTTGAGAAGGCTATAGCAAACTTGTCTGTTAATGCCAATGTTGCGAAAGCTGTTGCCGAGGAAGGAGGGATCACTATTCTTGCTGGTTTAGCAAGGTCTATGAACAGGCTAGTTGCTGAAGAAGCTGCTGGAGGGCTATGGAATCTCTCTGTTGGAGAAGAGCATAAGGTTTGATATTTGGAAATTATTGCTTTCGTCCTTAACTGTGCTCAACGGTTTAACTCATATAACAAATGTGATTTACCATCCAGGGCGCCATTGCCGAGGCTGGAGGAGTAAAGGCTTTAGTGGATCTTATATTCAAGTGGTCCTCTGGTGGTGATGGAGTTCTGGTTTGTACCTGTCATGACTTGCATTTTTTCTGTGTACAATGCTTAAGTATCTTGCATTACTTGTGCCCACACACAATTGGATTAAACTAATGGTTTTCTCCCTATATTTCTGGTTCCAGGAACGTGCAGCAGGTGCGCTGGCGAATTTGGCGGCTGATGATAAGTGTAGCACAGAGGTTGCAGTGGCAGGTGGCGTGCATGCTTTGGTGATGCTAGCTCGTAACTGCAAGTTTGAGGGAGTGCAAGAGCAGGTAACAATATTTTTCATTACTAAGGGAGTACGGAGGTCAATTCTTTGTATATTACACGAAGTGAAAGTGGAATATGACATCTTAGTTTCATATTTCTTAGTCATTTTCATGATTACTATTTTTTTTTCCACGTTTTAAGACGTATAATACTGCACATTTTGCATTGAGCAGTCTTTCCGTGCATGGCACAAGTGTGTGTATCAGTTTCTAGATTTGCAAATTACTAATTAGTCATCACTTGTGTATAACAGGCTGCCCGTGCCTTGGCAAATTTGGCCGCTCATGGAGATAGTAACAGCAATAACGCTGCAGTTGGACAAGAGGCAGGAGCTCTTGAAGCACTAGTACAGCTTACACAATCTCCCCATGAAGGTGTTAGGTTAGATTACTACTATAATCTGTATCTGCATTCTTATCTAGCAAGTTATTAGTAAGTCTCTTGCGTAAGTGAAAATGGTGGTGTTGATATATTCCTCTAACAGACAAGAAGCTGCTGGGGCATTATGGAATCTTTCTTTCGACGATAGAAATCGAGAAGCAATCGCAGCAGCCGGCGGTGTTGAAGCATTGGTATCACTCTTTTGAACTTTTAACTTTCTTTGATGACTGTAATGAACTACAGCTTTTATGACTACTCTGTGGTAGAAAACCCTTTTGGAGGAATACGGTTCTAGTTCAAAAAATGCCTTGCAGCCATTAGTATCTCACTAAGGTTGATATTACCGAGGGTGGTTATGAAATAACAGAAGTAATTATTCTTGGATGGAAGCTTAATTTTTTTTTATGATTGTCAAGCGTAAATTTGGAAGTATAGAAGCTAGATAGTGTTATTGTTTGCTTAACTCTTCTCTTGTTGCTCTTTTAGGTTGCTCTTGCACAATCCTGTTCAAATGCTTCCCCGGGTCTACAGGAAAGGGCTGCTGGTGCTCTGTGGGGACTGTCAGTCTCAGAAGTAAATAGGTATGTGTATGAATTTTTTTTTCTTTTTCATCCTGTGGCCTTCACACACCAAAAGTAGGAAAGCTTGATTCTGTTGTTTATGACTTTCGTTCGTTGAAATCTCTGAGGTAACTTTGTTTGTTAGCAATTCTGCCCGACATTTTTTGTGATCAAATGCACATGATGACATGACTGTTTGACAACATAGCATTCAAATTATCCATATGTATTACTATTGCCTATGTGGGGACAGCTTTTAGACTGGTTTAAGGAAGTAGCCGCTAGTAAGTTTTGCAGTGTACAACACATTGTTTTTCCTAGGAGATTTCAACACTAGATTTGTTACTTGATTGTTGAATTTCTGCACTCGGGGATCAGTTCTCATTGTTCATCATATTGTGTCATGAATTTCCTCCAAGTATACTACAATTCTTGTTTGCTGAACCTAGTCCTTGTGGAAAAAATTTGCATGTTATTCTTATAGATGTGAATATCACTTTTCGTACAATAGATTTTAATTGGTTTTGGTGTTTTATTTGTTAGCATCGCTATTGGACGAGAAGGAGGTGTTGTCCCACTGATTGCGTTGGCACGCTCTGATGCAGAAGTAAGTTCTTGTTGTTTTCCTTTCTTTTTGATGAAAGGTTCAAAAGTTCTGTATTTCAAGTCCTATGGGTTGGATAGATCTTTTTGATGAAAGGTTCAAAAGTTCTGTATTTCAAGTCCTATGGGTTGGATAGATCTTTTTGATGAAAGGTTCAAAAGTTCTGTATTTCAAGTCCTATGGGTTGGACCATAGACTTCAAGGAATAAAGGTGTAAATGTTAGGTTCTTTTCTTCTATCGATCGTCTTTGCCGTAACTAACATCAATTTCTGATTTCAGGATGTCCATGAAACAGCGGCAGGAGCGCTGTGGAACTTGGCATTTAACCCTGGCAACGCTCTCCGAATTGTAGAGGAAGGAGGAGTTCCTGCACTTGTTCATCTATGCTCTTCCTCGGTATCGAAGATGGCACGCTTCATGGCTGCATTGGCATTGGCATACATGTTTGATGGAAGGTAGTTATTATGACCTTTGTGTTTTCCTCTCTTTTATAGTGTATTTGTAATGATGTGATGTTCTGTTCTCTATGTGTCTCATATGGAAATTTCGATCAGAAAGTGGTTACTAACCTGATCCTAAAGTCTCTTATTAGTTTTGCACTTGATAGCTACTTAAGATTGGTTTCTGCTAGTGTTAGATACTCGTTTGTTATATGAGTTATAATTAATAGAGTGGCATTTCAAAAGATTGAAGTAGTTGATACTCTACTTTAATCTCTAACATAACAATATTATTCTTGACATATCATTTGCAATTTTGCACGAAGACTTGATAAATTTGCAAAACACTTCTTGTAGAATGGATGAATATGCTCTTGTTGGGACTTCATCGGAAAGTATTTCAAAGAGCGTGAGCTTAGACGGCGCTAGAAGAATGGCTCTAAAGCACATTGAAGCCTTTGTACTCACATTCTCTGATCCACACTCGTTCGCTGCGGCTGCTGCGTCATCAGCCCCTGCAGCATTGGCACAAGTAACGGAAGGAGCCCGTATTCAGGAAGCAGGGCATCTGAGATGCAGGTTTGCTCTCTCTCTCTCTCTCTCTCCCCCCATTTTTGTTGGCTGTCATTCTAATGCAAAGTAACAGTTGGAATCTTATTGCCTAACTCTGAGTTGGTGAAATCAATCCTCTCTTTCTCTGGGTAATTCTAGCTAAGGTCTTATGTTCTGGTTGGACTTGCAGTTGGTGATCAGATAGCTCTGGTTACTTGTTTTCAGTTTTTACTGTTGGTTGAATGGACCTCTTTTACCCAACTTTCAGTTCGTTACCTGTCTTGTCTTGTTTGGTTTGCAATGCCAATAATCTCCAATTGTTTAAGTCGTTCTTTTTGGTCAAGTGGGTAGACCAGATATCTGATTTTAGCAGTACTCTTTACCTTTTAATTGGCCAGTTTCTCATTTATTTTATTCATTGAAGTCTTTCGTAATCTTTATATTTGCACTTCTTAGTGGAGCGGAAATTGGAAGGTTTGTTGCCATGCTGCGGAACTCGTCATCTGTACTCAAGGCATGTGCGGCATTTGCTCTTCTACAGGTATTTTTTAGGCATGTTGAGACTCTCATTGTGCGTGCGGTGACGCGATTTGCTTTTAATAGAAATCTTTAAACTAACCTGTGGAGGCGTCTCCGTGTTTTGCTCTTTTCATCTGCAGTTTACTATTCCTGGTGGCAGGCATGCAATCCACCATGCGAGTCTTATGCAGAATGCAGGAGCAGCAAGAGTCCTGCGGGCCGCTGCTGCAGCAGCAACTGCTCCGCTCGAAGCCAAAATCTTCGCCCGAATCGTACTTCGCAATCTCGAGCATCATCACATAGAATCCTCGCTTTGAAGACTAATCAAGCCGGCTGCTAGATGTTCTTGCACACAGATAAATGACCAACCTTCAAACTCGATCATGGACGGCCTCTTGCACAGCGGTATAGAGCGCGATAAGAACACAGTCTACGCGCGGCCTTCTGCTCTTTGAAACCTTAAAGTGCTGTAGAAATTCTGTCCAACCTCATTAATCTCATTTCCTTTTTTTCCTTCCTTTTTTCTTCTTTCAAGTCTCCTTATTTCTTAGGCATAAATGTTGTTGATTTAGGTTCGAGTAGCTTCCCCATTGTATCAAAGAGTACTTTTAGGTGGGGGATCGGTCTTGTAATCTTATCACACAATTTTTGTCTCTATTCATTGTGGCAATCTCGTCTTAGATAATAATACATATCTTAGCTGTTTTGAGACTTACCAGTGTTGTTATTTGTCCATCTGATTTTAGATTTAATCAGTGGGCAATTTTGACCAGAAGGGTATTGAGGATCCGAGAAATTTTCATGGCAGCAGGCGAATTCCTCAGATGAAATATATGTGGCTCGTTTGACAGAGTTTTTACTTTTGTTTGTATTTAGTAGAAAAAAAGAAGTAAAAGTTATGACTTTTAAATAAGGATCAGTAAAAAAAAAAAAAAAAGAGTTTAATGGGTCAAAATCATTTTTAAATTTTCTAATAGGTAACAAGTATTTAGAATTAAGTCCATAATGCCTTAATGAAATTTTAGTACAAGTTTTAAAGTTTATTTATAAGTATTTTTTTTAATAAAAAAAGTCTCATTTTGTGACTTTAATTAGAAGCTCTTCTAAAAATTTAAAACACTTTTTACAGATCATTCGAAACACTTTCAAAAATAACTTATTGAAGTCATGAAGTTAAAAATAGCTTTCAGGAAGCTCTCCTAAACAAGCCCTATAATATCTAGAAAATGTGTAATTTTAAATCTCTAACACATAATTGGTATTAAAATGTTGGGAATCTAACATTATTTGGGAAGCTAACGTTGTTCTTATAAAATATTGTTTTCTTGAAATCAGGCAGGCTGTTCTTGACAGATAACAAGCAGCCAATGGAACATAATTACGATCGAAACAATCACATTAACATAGACAAATGTAACAAAGTCTCACTGGATTGATTGGTACATATGTCTACCAGTGGTAACCATTTAGAACTTGTGTTTTTCACTCTTCATTCCAATCCTTTAAATTCCTCATCATCGATCTAGCCGACGACCATCGGCTTAATAGATAGAGCGCTGCAAAAGGCGACTCTCAGTAATCCCAGCCAGTTCCAGGAAGTTGTTCCACATTGATGAAAACCAATTGTCATGAGACAAAGAGCCGGCCATTGCCTGCTGTGTTGCTGACTGGCCGATCAAGTACGGCACTATGTATTTTGCCATGTCACTCCTAGAGATTTCTAGATGATTTCCCGACACGCTTACGAATTTAACTTTCCCAGCTTCATCCAAAGTTCTTAAACCAATCCAGTCTTCAATGTAGAGCTTTGTCTATAGGCAGTAAACCGTGTTAAATAGACATGAAAACAATTATTCTGCAGTTAAAAATGAATCTCTACTTTCAAACACGTGCATTTACTTACAGTAACATCTGAATTGTTCCTATCAAATATGACATGCTAATAAGAAGAGACGAGTTTATGGAATTGCAAAAGATACCTCTTGAGGGGGCAGAACAGAATCGAAAGTCCCATCGGGATAATATCCAAACCAAGCAGTTTCTTTCGGTATCAAAATGGTGTCCTGCTCAAACTGCTCAAGCATGCAGAGAAAAAGGAGAAGAATCACAGCAAGCCAAAAAAAAAAAAAAAAAAGAACAAAACAAAATCACAGTAACTTCACATAACACTGAGGATCGAATTTATATACCATAAACCAAGGGAACAAAATGACTTGTAGAACTCACCATTATGAGTACCAAATTCTCTATGCTAGCAAATCTTTCCTTGTAGGTGGCATTTCTCTCGTTAGGGATTTCATTATTAAGCTTTGGGAGAAATTTACAACCACTCAAATAGTCATCAATATCCTGGAGAAAGGATAAGGTCATGGAAATTGTTAGCTTCAATGTTGGGAAAATGAGGCTTAACGATACTCGGAAAGCAATAGTACAGTTCAAAATAATCGCATTGAAACAGATCGTGGTTGGATTTAAAGATACGTAAGTATTACACTTACGGTTGGGATTTTAAGATAACCACTAGGAGCCAAGTGTTCCTGCAAAATTATAGAAGCCAAGCAACATTATTGAAGAGAATTACCAATTGAAACAAATAGCGGTAACAAATGAAAAATGGGAAAAAACAAATTAAATACAAAAGGTGAGAAGAAACTGAAAGCTTAGAGTAAAATTTGAACCTGGATGTAGTTGCTGTAGATCTCTGACTTGATTAAACTGTCAATAAGAATGCAAATCCACCCAGACTGAAAAAAATAGAGAATGTCAAACCAGTTGCAGTAACTTTACTCTCTCTCTCTCTCTAGACGCATGGACATAGATTATTAGCATGTTTAGTTCTGCCGAGTAAATAACAGAAATCGTATAAAGTAGTAGTAGTATTTCGGTACTTCAACATCTTTTGAAGTTGGGCAAGATAAGAATCTATCTAAAATCAGAGAAAAAAAGATGAGGCAAGAAAAGAAGCACATACTCCACAAAGTGGAATAGAAGCAGTACCGGCATGGGGACCTCCAAGTGATATGAAATTCTTAACCTGTATAAAGAAGAGTAATAGCATTTTGAACAGCAAGAATATAGAAAGATTTGACTTCTGTTACTTGTGTTAAGTGACAAGGCCAATGGGATTAAATTTCAGATTGTGTGGGAAATACAATAACATAAAACAAACTGTTAAAACAAGTTCTTACAGCAGGTCCCCCATCACAAAACTCAATAACACCTCGACCGATCGCATTACCCTGCAAAATGGATGGAATATGCAACGTGTTAGAACTAGCTTAGCCGACACAGAAAATCCACTTTTCATGAATTTCTATACATTAGTTATATAAAAAAAGGAATATTCGCCAAAGTACATAAAAAGGAAGAAAAAGTTTACAGCACTTATCAATCACCTGAGAAAGTCCAACTATGTTGTAACCCTCACTCAGTTCACTCATTTGCTTCACCTATAAATTAAAATGAAAGCTATATTAAGAAAAAAAAACTATACTTCAATATCCAAGCTGGAAGAATAAAAAATTGTATTACCAAACTAATTCACCACCTTCTCACAAACAATAGCAGTCTGCAATGAAAAGTATGATAAACAATTTTAGTGTGTAAGATTGTAAGTACTAAATGAACTCATTTTCTTGTTTATGAATTCAATAATCACCTGTTCCAACAAGGGCATTGTCCACGAATCCCACGGCCCCTTTCCAATTTCTCTACAAAAAAAAAAAAAAAAAAAAAAAAAAAAAAAACAATTTCCCTAAAAAAAAAAAAAAAAAAAAAAAACAAAAGAAAAGAAAAAGAGATTTTATTCAGAATTCATATGGACAGCAATAAATTCATTACAAACAGAGCTTAACATCCAGAAAAGCATATACATGCAATATCCTTGAGAACTAGACCAGTTGCTTAGTTCCTCAGTGAAATGCGTGATCCCTCGATTGGTGCATTTATCTCCAATTCCTGTCATGAAATGCATACAGAGATTTCAATCTTAAAATAACTTTCCTAAATGTCCTAAAACGAGCACTGCTATTCATCATGATTGGCGATGCATCGCTAGAAATGTCTGTGAAAGAGAACAATTGCATAACAAAATACGAGATAAAAAAACTGTGTCCCACTGTGCTATATGGAGGTTTTATGGTACTCCCAAATATGTGGGGATAGTATCATTAACATCGATAAGTATAACATTTATCAATTTTAGGCAATATGTTTTGCTGATTACGTTACAAATTTGAAGTTGAATACAGGAATAAATGAAGAACCAAGTCACTTGGCAAGTAGTTTCTGAATATTTTGTTTGGTATTGCCTGGTCTAAATCTTAGACTGATGTCACACCAAACAAAGTTTATAACAACATTTGGTTTCCAAACACATAAAAACCAAAAAGAAACTGATGAATAACGGTATCTGAGAAAGGCACTGGCTTGATAATGAAAATTACACATGATTAATTCTCATTCCAAAAAAAGCAAAAAAAAAAAAAAAAAAAACAGTACAAGTCAAATAACTTAAAGGGTATCAAAAGAATTGAGAGAGAAAGCATTAAAAGCAGGAGAACCCATGAAATTGGGGGGGAGAGAGAAGAAATTACCATGCAAAACGATGAAAGGAACAGAGCGAACGAAGGGGATGACAGTTGCGGAGATGATGATGGAGATGAAGAATAAGAGCGGTGGAGAAGCCATTGATGTGAACCGTGAAGTGGGTTTTGGTGGGTTATTTTAGATGTTCGATGAATTTAAGGTTTTAGATTCCTAGATCTTTGGGGAACTCTTGTATTGGGAATGATTTACATGATAATTGCAAAGGAGGCGTTAAGTTACCGGCCAACTACCTTCCAAAGTGTAGCAGTCGACTGTTTTTTATGTCGATGGATTGTCGTTTATTGCGATTGACTCCTTCGCTGAGTGTCGTTTCATCGTTTAAACGACGTGTCGTTTTATACTGCATTCGTTCCCAAATGTCGTTAAATGTTAATGTTGTTCTCGTTATATTGTCATTTCGCGTGATTGTCGTTCATCTTCATGTCATTTGCAACCAATGTCCTTTTCCTCATTTAAACTGGCATTTCCTTTCATTGTTGTCGTTTATCCTTTCCCTCGTATGAAATGATAAGTTTTTCGTATGTCGTCCTCTATGAAAACGTGTTGCTTTTTTGTTGTCGTTTTCTGTGATTATAGTTTAAATTGAACGATTACTAGTGTTCAATCGATATTAAGCTTTTTCCACCAACAACATCGCAGATCAGATATAATGGAAAGAATCTCGATTTTGTACTTAACACTAAAAAATGTAAAGCACAAACTCAAATTTAAAAACACAAGGTTTATCTCAATACTTTTTTTTTTTTTTTTGTATAAATTGAAAATCAAGGTTAATCTCAAGACTTTATCTCCTAATTACCATGAAAAAAAAAAGACATTATCTCCTAATACTTTGCAAAAATTCTAGGGAGACTTTTTTTTTTTATTTAAAAAAAAAAAACAAATCTAGGGAGACTCAGAGCCGACTTAATTATGGACTGGACTTTCAACGACACACTGTGGAAAGGCCCAATCCTAAAATGGAAATTGTTGAGCCAATTGCCAAACACCCCCTTTACAAATGATGACACGTGTTTGCAGGTATTCCTATTGGACCCCACTAATATGATTCGGTTGACATAATGGTGATCAGAAATCTGACGGCCATACAGTGGTCATAGTCACACCGTAGAAACTCTCTCCCCCTCTCTTTCCTTCTCTCTCTCTCCTCTCTGTCACCCAAACTAAAGTCGAAAGCTTTCTCTCGCCTTCCAAATCTGGCCAGAGCTCGACGCGCTTCCGACTTTCTGTCACCGCCGGCGGTGCTTATCATGCTCCAGCCATAGTCTTCTCTAGCTTGGCCCCACCAAAGATTCACCCCAAATCCCAGGTCTCTCTCTCTCTCTCTCTCTCTAGCTTCTGATTGATGCTCTAGGGTTTTACCAGTTCGCGGGTTTATGTTTCGTTTATCGATTAAAGATAATAGTTTCGATTTGCTGGTATGGAAATGTTTAATTTTGCTTTTCTTCTTCCCTAATTTGTTTGATGATCAATCAATTTTGTGTCTTTTTGTGCATGTGGACTCCGAACTGTGAAAATAGGACATCGTTTTTGGAATAACACGAGAAAATAGTAATCTTGCTATTCTCTGGGTTTTTTTTTTCTTTTAATTTTTTTTCTAATTTCAGAATCTATAAGAGTGTCGTTTCTGCTGGTATGGAAGTATCCAATTTTGTTTTCTGAATTTTGTGGGTTTTCTCCAAGTTATTTTATTATCATTTTCTGAGTTTCTTCATATGTACACTGAACTGTAAAATATTGCAGTATTTATTTATTTATTGTTTGCTATTCTCTGCATTTTCTTTAATTTTTCTAGTCTTGGAATCCGTAAAGAGTGTCCTGTCCACTGGTATGGAAATATCCATTTTTTTCTTCTGATTTTTTGTGGGTTTTCTCTCATTTATTTTCATGGTCAATTTTTCTGGTTTTTCTACATATGGACACTATATACGGTGAAAGAGGACACCGTATAATTTTCTGGGTTTGCTTTGATTTTTCTAATTTACAGAGTCGATTATTTTATTTTATTTTTTACTTTATTATTATTTTTTGGGGGACATTATAGGATGGGCCCTGAGTTAGATGTGAAGCCAAAGTCAGAAGCTTCAATGAAAGCTTCGGTTCAGAAGGAGAACACAAGTCTCCATCAGGATCCAAGAGATGAGTTCTTGCCTTGTGTGAGTAATTACAAGGACGAGACCTTTGATGTGGAAGCATCACTGGTGGTTAAACAGACCACCCCACCTGATATGACTGAGAATGAGGAGCTAAACATAACTGACACTACTCATTCGCCAAATATTGATGTGGTTCAAACTGATTACATAGATGAAATTGAGAATTCAAGCTCTTTCGGCGATACAGTATCTGGGGCAGAGGAGGATTCCGTGTTAAATGGCGATGAAGCTCAGTCACGGTTGCATGGTGACCATGCTTCGGTGTCAACGTACGACGCATATTTCGGTGAGTTTCGAATGAGGTAAGTGCAGATACAAAACTTGTCTCTTGATTTGTATGTTTATCTTAAATTTATCATGTATAATTTGAATTTTTTTTTTCCCCGCAATATAGGCTATTTGTCTGTAAATTCTTTTAGTTATCATCCAACGTGCACAAGACAAGATTATCTCCGTTAAATTTTAAAAGTCCATAATCAATTTCATGGTATGGGAACAAATTATAAAATGAAAAGAAAAGTAAATAAATACATCAATACAGGACTAATTGGCGGAAAAAATGTCAAGGTACCGAATTGTCACAAATTTGGTCAAGGATAACAGCGCCAATAACCCTTGTTGTAATTTTAGTGCCTACCAAATGTTTAATGTTAAGATATTCATGGTTTACTTGACTGAATAATGTTTCTGTTTCACTTGTGTGTCTAATTTTCTAGGAAGAAGAAGTTGACGGCTCATTGGAGAAAGTTTGTACGTCCGCTTATGTGGCGGTGTAAATGGATGGAGCTTCAAATTAAGGAGCTTCAGTCCCAAGCGATGAAATATGATAAAGAACTTGCAGAATTTAGTGAAAGAAAGGAGTTTGAGTTTGGAAGGTTCGCATTAGAAGGTCTTGATGCGAAATCACTTCCATTTTTGAGTCAATCTGGAAGAAATAAAGTCATGAAGAGGAAGAAAAGGAAGAGAGTTGAAGAGGTAGTTGATGTAGTGTCATACATGTCACAGCATAACTTGTTCTCCTATTATGGTAGGTGGTCTGCTATTATGTTTATGCAGTGTTTATTTGTCGAGTTAATTTCTGATTTGTCTATGTGTTTCCTTTGCTTTGCTTTGCAGAAAATAATAAGTCTGTCCCTGACATTGCTTCTGTGCATGATGATTTTGGCAATCTAGGTATGGGTGATGGTTCTCCCTACTTCTTATTCCTATGAAATAAAGCAAAACAGTGATGAGGAAGCAAGCCTGTGACCTAGTTTACTTACTATTTAAGCAAACTACTTTTATCGTTGGAATAAACATCTTATATTCACCCTGTAGGTAAGACTACTTATCCCAATGATGAATTGGGGACAAATGACGGATTCTCTTTTGAGTTTCAAGATGGCGATAGTTCCTTTGAGGATCTTTTCCAGAAGATTGAAACGATACAATCACGGGTGCGAGAGTTGATTTCCCGAGCGGAAAAGGTGGTTTCTGGAAACTTGGGAAATACTTCTTCGATTAATAGGTCTAGCCGCGTTGCAACTCTAAATGCACCAGTCAGCACTGCTCAAAATCCTGCTGCTCCTGAAAGTGGTAATGGATTACAAGTTGATTCTCTCTGTATTGCAACTCAGCGCGCATCATCAGAGCGCAATATGGGCGACCTGCTTATGCTTGAGAGTGCAGTTTCAAGTCATGGAGAGGTGACCCCTCATTCTGAAACGATTGGAAGCACGGATCAGCTTCAGGTTGGACACTTGCTTGCAAATGTAGGTTCTTCCTTGAAACTTGTCTTGTTTGCCCTTAATTGTTTTATGATGATTAACTATTCCACAGAAGATAATGATATTACAAGCATGTTAGTTTTTGTTTTACAAAAGAAAATTATCTGCAATTGTTCACCTTTTTTTTTTTGGTTTTTTTTTTTTGCGCTAGCCGTGTTCTCAGTTGGGCTCATCGTTTTATGTGAACAGACCGAAGACGAAGTGCTGATAGACAATGAGCATGCCAAGGAAGAGTTGCACGATTTTGAGAAGTTGAGAGATCAGCTCGTGGAGAAGCCTCAAGTATCAGAAGAAAAGAAACAAGAAAAGCCTTCTCTTCTGGTTTCAGAAGCTGCTACGACCTCAAAAGCGGTTGTGGGATCTAATATGAAGACAAGATATGGTGGCAAGCGAAAGCCTGCCTTAAGAAGATGAAGTTGGAGATCCTCAGATTAGCTTTAAAAGGTAATTGGGAAGATTACTTTGGACTGATAGTTTTGAGCACTAAAAGTGTCAGCGGCTAGCTCTGTTTAATTCCAACATTGTATATTCTAAACATATATATTTAAATATATATATATATGTATACACACATATATTTTCTGCTGTAAATTGTGTTTCTCTTTCTCTCTGTCTCTGATGATGTAAAAAGGATTTCCACTGTACATGCTGCTAATGCTGCAAAACACACTGTAATATCCTATTCGAATGTCCTTTAATTGATTGGATTTCTGCCCATCGTTTACAAAATATACAATCTTATTCGGGAATTTATCCAGCTTCCAAGTTTCTTTAAGCCAAATAAAAAAAAAAAAAAAAAATATATATATATATATATATATGTAAATACTTTATTATTGGGTATTCTCTTTATTCTTTCTTGGAATGTCATCACACCATTCTACCTAGTACCTTGACATATTTAGATAGACAATAGTTGACAGTGAAATCCCACATTACAATCTGTCGAAATTGTCTCGTCACTTATTGGCTTGTTAATATGTTATATGCATAGACAAGGTAATCAAGATGCCATTTTCCCCATAAGAACCCTTCTGGAGATCTTGACAGAAAAGAGAGCCAACACCGTTGCCGAAGGGACAAAGACGACATCAGGGATTACTTTGATCATCTTAAGCTGCGGCACAGTCTCTCCTGCTCTTTTTGCCACCATGGCGACTGGCGGCATCATTACTCCTGTGATCATGGTTGTATCATCGATCTTGTTCAGATTGACGTTCTTCCTCATGAACTCCACATAAATCTCCCTTCTTTTTGGCTCAGCTTCCTCCTTCCAGTCTTTAAAGAACTTCTGCTTATTGTCAATTGCAAACAGCTTTATTAGGAAGAAATAAAGTTATAAAAGTGAAGTCGAAGTTGCATAAACCTTGATTTCTTTACCTCTATTTCTTTGCGTGATGGCGCATCAAAGTGTTTACCGGGCAATGCAGAGTTGAAATTGCTGTATAAGATTGATTTTTAGAGCACAAGATGATTGTAATAGTGATAAGAATTTCATCATAGTTTTCTTTTAATATAAGAACATGTTAACGTGGAAAGTACAAAGAATTTGTGCAAAGCGCTTACTTGAAAATATCAAGAACAGCAAGGTGGAATTCATCGAAGGTTTTGATGTCTTTCTCTACGAACCGGTCGTACACGGTTCTCGACGCTATATTCAGCATATGCGAGTACATTGAGCCTATTGTTCAATTTTACAGCTACAACATATTGTTAGTTTCATATACAAGCATAATCATTTTTGGAAGGGAATGATGTAAAGAAAACGAACAAGAATAGTGTTTTTGCTTGATGGGGGAAATATGTGATCACTAAACCAAAGAAATGAAAAAAAGAAAAGACTTGAAAATAGATGGATTAAAAAGAAAAAAGATGTAAAAAAGCAGATATCAGAAATACATAAAGGAAAAAAAAGAAAAAAGAAAAAAGAAAGCAACCAACCTCCTCCCATGAAACTCATAATTATCCCCATTTGGCCAAAACCAGGATACAATTGATGGTACAATAATGTGTTGTAGGCCAATATATAAAAGAATGACATGTTTGATCAATGTAAGCAAGGTATCTACTATTTTATAAGTTTCTCAGCGTGAAATCTGATTCCTCGCTTGAAACCAACCTTTAACTTAGAATCGGAGCTTGCAGAGAGAGCATTTAGGTTCGGAATCAACGTGAAATGGATTGTAACCACTCGTGTTTCATAACAAGTATTATACCTTTTAGAAGCTGATTAAATTGTTAAAGATGGCATCGGATGGTTGGCGGAAAATTACAACAAAATTGTGAATTCTAGGATAATATGCGGAGCAGAGACTGAGTTATTAGCAAAATGTAATCAGAACTCTTTTTTACAAACATATTTTCCCTAAATTCATCAAGTTATGTCTCCTTTCACGTGCTTGCATAATTGTCCCAAGGTTAAGCATACAGAGTCCCAGTAAGGATGCAAATTGTTTCCAGAAACAAATTCCCAGATTTTACCATCCATCTCAATGACACTACAACCGACCTCCTTGTTTGCTCCATTCTTTCTCATTAACCTCTTAATTTCCTCTGCATCACTCCACCTCCTCTCCATGGCATACAAATTTCTCACCGTAATGTAGTTCCCATCATTCCCGGGCTCCAATTTGACTGCATTTTTCAAAAATTTCTTAGCTCTATTGACATCCTTGAAAGAACTACAAGCAGAAAGAAAAGAACTCAAAATTATCCCGTTAGCCTCGAAAGGCATGCTCTTTATCAAATTTTCCGCTTCCTCCAAGCATCCTGCTTTCCCCAAAAGATCTACCATACAACCATAGTGTTCAATCTGCGGGATAAGCCCAAATCCTTCCATAGCTTTAAAACATCTCCTCCCTTCCTCTACTAAGCCACTGTGGTTAGATGCCGATAAAACACCAAGCATTGTTATGTCATTTGGCTTAGGATTTTTGTCTTGCATCTCTGAGAACAGCTGCAATGCTTCCTCACCACGGCCATTCACTGCAAAACCATTTATCAAAGCATTCCAAGAAGCTATTTCCTTTTCGGGCATCTCATCAAAAATTGTTTTGGCCTTTTCGACTTCCCCACATTTTGCGTACATATCTATTAGCGCAGTGCATATCTTGACTAACCCATCAAACCTTTTCTTTTGAACAAACTGGTGAATCCAACAACCTAAATCCAGGGCACCCAAATCCGCAATTGCTGGAAGAATGCTTACTATGGTTACTTCATTTGGTTCCAACAATGTTGAATCCTGCATTTCACGAAATAATTTCAGGGCTTCAAGGGGTTGATTGTTTTGACAATATCCACTTATCATTGTATTCCAAGAAATAAGGTTCTTCTCAGGCATGGCATCAAATAGAGATCTAGCAGAAAGTAAATCACCACAATGACAATATCCATAAATCATACTTGTCCAGGACACCAAATTCCTATCTTTCATCTCCTCGAACAAATCTCGAGCAGAGCCAATATCCCCCAATTTTGCATAACCATCAATCATTGCATTATATATAGCCGAGTCTTTCTCAGGCATCTCATCGAAAAGCTTCCTTGCGTTAATCATATCTCTCGATCTAACATATCCGCAAATGAGCGCTGTCCACGACACTTGGCTTCTTGCACTCATTTCGTCGAACAACATTCTCGCGTAACCCGTCTCCCCAAACTTCGCATACATATCAACCAATGCTGTTCCCACATACAAATCCGAGCAGAACCCCGTCTTTAAAACATGACAACGTATCTCCTGACCTTCCTTAATCGCCACATTCAAACCACAAGACTTCACCAACACGACAAACGTATAGTTATTAGGAACAAAACATGTTCCTCTCCTAAGATCTCTATAAAGAGCAAAAGATTCGGCAAACTGCCGCAAACCCATGTGGGCTTTGATCATGCAGTTACAAAGGAACGAGTCGTCTCTCTGGGGCCTTCTGTCGAACACTTTGCGGGCGTGATTGAGCAAAGCAAGCGAGTCTTGGAAGGATGAAAGGGGAAGCGAAGTGCAGGTGGCGATGAACTTGGTGAGAAGATTGACATTGGTTTCGAGGGCGTTCCGGAGAATGAAAGCGTGGATTTGGAGGAGAGAGGCTCTTGTGTTTGTTTGTTGGAGAAGGTGCAGGCATTTTCTCTCAATGGAGCTCCAAAGTTGCTCTGCCATTGACCACACATGCCAAACTTCTCTGCCTAACTCAGTTGCTTATTTGAAACTCTAAATTGGCGGGTTTGTTAGTTAGTTATTAACGTTTTCTTCGTTTTACCGAATTGAGTTTTAAATTTTAATTTTATTAAAATAAAAATTCTTACATTTAAAAATTTTTACATAAAATTATATTTTAACTTAAATTAAAAATTTAAATTAATAAATTAAACGAGATCTAAACTTAAATTTAAAATTCGAATCAATAAATTAAATGTAGTAGGCCCGTTTAATTCGCTGATTCAAATTTTTAATTCGAGTTATATTATTCTTCCAATTCTCTGCCAAATTACAAATTTGCACCTATAAATTATAATCTAATGTACTAAAGGACCATTCTATCCTCTGTTAATATAATGTATTACACAACACAACAGTTGTACTCGAAATACGTGAAAGTCATTTTTGTTTTTTTTTTTTATAATTGTGAAAGTCAATTTCACTTTACACAAAACCGGCTGTGGCCGGTAACTTTCAGGCGCGGGCCGCAAAAAATTGTTGAATGGCATTCCATAAACCTCATTCGTGGAATTGCAGCAATGGCCAATAAAGAAATAAGGATAATTAGCATAGATGATGCTTAATCTTTTATTAGGAGACAGTTTAATCTTTATTTTTTTTTTAATTTTGGTAAATGATTCTCGACGTCATTAAATAGGTACAATTAATTTCTTTTTCATCTAGAGCGTCAAATTACTCACATTAAAACTCATGTGACCCCTCACGTGACCCAATTACAAGGGTTGGGTTTGCAAACTCTACGTGGCGGTAGCGACATTTGGGGTCTGCTGAGATTAGGACAACGGCGCGGCTTTTTGATTCGTGGAGATCCAGACCACGACGTTGGGTTTGTTGGAGAATTTGAGTGTAGAGGGTGAAAAAAATGTAGAAAACAAGAGAGGGTTTAAGACGTATATGAATACTTTCCTTTAAGATTTTATTTGCCCCTACTTCTCAAAGTTTACTAATGAGTTTTAATGGTAAATTACCCCTAAGATACAACAAACTTTTGAACACAATATCTAGCAATAATATTGAGTTCCAGAACATGAATGAAGTCTATAAATTTTCTGGAGAATTAATAAAGACAGATGCGTCATTTAATGAATGAATGCATTCTCTTTAAACATTATAACCATTAACATAAATGTACATTTTCAATGTCAATATATTTTTTCATGGATTAATACACTTATTACAATAGTTATATCTATTGCTAATTGGTGTTCAGATATGTATGAAAACATATCACCAATGAATATAATGGTTCGAAACGTTTTAGATCACATAAACTCATGAAAACATTGTTTTCTATATAATTTATGTTGCAGCGGATGTTTTCCCGCTGCAGCCGCAAACGGATCCGAGACATGCAAACATTTCGGCTGCAGCCAAAATATTTCTGCTGCAGTCAAAATATTTCAATTGCAGTCAATATTTCAGCTGTTGCCGGTTTGGCCGAATCAAAACAGTTTGTCTGCTGCAACTTTTTAAAGTCCCTTTAACACGTGTTTTTATGTTTTAATACTTAAACAACTTGTTATCTTAATCAAGACATGTTACAATCTCTCTAACAGGGTTTTCGGAGATCTGGGTGACGACATGGGTATGGGGAGACGGAGACGGAGAAAGAACTCCGATATGAAAGAGCGGCAGGTGGCTCTTGCTTCGTGATGGCTGGACAAGGGGGCTTCAATCTAGTGTTGACGGGAAAGGGTGGGCGTAATCTCACGACAGCAAGGGAAGATACATTCGATTTCATGATGATAAGGGACAGAGGAGGGATGCGACCTCGCAACGACGAGAGAAGGATGGCGATCTTGCGACGGGGGTGGTGGTAAAGTCCATTTTTTCATTACCTGCATAAAGTCCCCTACGGTGGAAAATGGATAATTCCTGTTCTTGACAACCTTAAAATCCTAGCCTTATTCAACATGTGCCGTAATGTAGAGTGGGTCTACACTCTACATCATGGTCAATTTGGTTTTCTGCTCAAACTTTACGGTTCAGATTTTCCCTCTTGGATCTTTATTCAAATATTTATTTTATATGACCACCAGATCAAGATTACAATTTATGAACTTCCTGTGTATATGTAGATGCTTTACTCCACTTTTTTTTTCCCCCTACTTGGTGCAGATAGATAACATGGATGCATTATCTGGGCGTGGGAGGTGGTGGGGAAGGGTGTGTGGAGGAGTTCTCATTATGCAACTCTCTCAAATGATCTGCAATAACCCCTTTTTTTATGAGAATCTTTTGTTTGAGCTCTATGATTTTGTTTGGTTTATGCTGTTTTTTGGATTCTATAATCTTGATTAGGTAGTGATTTTGGTTTTGTGGTGGAAATGTTGCATATTGACGGTAATGGTTACCAACAATGTTGATGATGGAAGAGTTTGGTTTTGTTTTTGTTCTTTTTTTTTTTTTTTTTTAGATTTTGTTTTTTTTTTTTTTTTTTTTTTTTTTTTTTTTTTTTTTTTAGAGTGTTTTGGTCTTCTCACTAAAAAAGATAGTACATGACGGCTCACTGTGAAAAAGTATGTTAAAAACTAATGTGAAGAAGTCTGAACAAACTAATGGATTTTGACGGAAATAGCTTGATTGTTAATGTTTTGAGAGTTATAAAAGAATATAAATTAAACTGTCACTTGTTAAAGAAGTTAAAGACCATCCGTGCTAATTATCCAGTAAACAAATAAATAATGAGAATAATATTTTAGAATTTATCAAAGAAAACGGCAAAGAAATAGGAGGACGACATCTTCCCTCAAAGTCTTCCAACTCCAAAGGACACCCTTTCTGGCAAAGAAATATGTCAAGGAGATTTGAGTGTGCATAACATGAAGACTTTCGTAGAGGTGATAATAGTTTTCATATACCCGAATTCTGGTTCAAAATGACCATGCTGGCACTGAATTCGTTCGCTACCTAACAATCTCAGCGCAGCAAGTGGAAGTGCCGAGAAGTGAACCTTGTAATTGTGTTGTAGTATTTCCTGGCATTGAGCATTTTCATTAGAGTTAAGTTTACTTTCACATGACATGAGCATCTCTTCTTGTAATTTGGTTATTCTTTTTTATTTAAGGAAAAAGCAGGACAAGTGTCCTTAGAAAATAAGGGGAAGATTCATCACCCTGCGTTATGCACTTCATACTGCTTGTTTCAAGTGAACAGAGGAATATAGGATTTGTGAATTTTGTGCCGAATGGGATTTGAAATTCAATTCAAACATTGTGTTTTTTAAACCACAGCTCTTTCTTTGTCAAAATCCTGGATCTTTTCTTTCTCGTTTTTTGTTTTTTTCGGAACAACCTGGACCTCATTTTCAACGGAAAACAGTAGCGTTTTCCCTAAACGACATAGTTTTCTAAGAACGACATCAACAGGAAAGCGACAGCCGAAAATGCGAAATCCCTTGTAAAACGACAGGAATAAAAAAAAACTTTTAAATAAATGGGACTTAAATTTATATTTTGCGTGTAAAAAAGGATTTGAATTTAGTATTATGCTGAAAAAAAGGTTTATCAATTCTTAAAAAAAAAAAAAAAAGAAAGAAAAAGAAAAAAGGATTTATGAAAGAAACGGCAAAGAAATAGGAGGACGACTTTCTTTCTACAGCGCCTTCCTCAACGTCTTCCTACTTCCAAGGACACTCTTTTCTTCTGCAACCTCCGTTGAAGCTTCTTGATTTTCTCTCCTCACAAGAAACCCCTCACTTCACCATGCCTCTTCGGAAATCTCTCTTCACCTTCCTCTCGCGCAACTTCGCTTCCTCTTCCTCCGCCGCCGCCGCCAGGAAGCTTCCAGTAATCCGAGGAACCAACAACATTCACCCCATTCACAAGCCCAGAGCTCTCAAGGAAGCTCAGAAAGCCCTAACCGACTATCTCCACTGCACCAGAGGATTGCCCTTCATCTTCGCCGAGTTGATCGCCGCCAATTCTCTCTTCGCCCTCTCCGACCTCATTCGCAAGATTCGCTTCTCCGCTTTCACCTTCTCCGAAAGCTTTGAAAGCCTCATCAGGTATCATCCCATTAACGAATTCGAATTTTTCCTCGAAAGCATTGGCATAGCTCGCGACGAAGTTCCTTTCTTTTTGCCAAAGAACAAGTTTTTCTTTTCCGAGGATTTGAATATTCTAGATGCTTCTTTAGCGCTTATTCAGTTTGGGTTTCCGTGGAATAAGTTGGGGGTTTTGTATAAAGAGGAAGGTTCGATTTTTAGCATGTCTTCTAATGAGTTAGTTGAGAGGTTTCGCGTGTTTAAGCAGTACTTTGGCATTGATAATCTTCGTGTGGTTGGTATTTGCTTGGCTTTCCCTTACTTGTTGACTGTGGAAGGCGAATTGGGTAGTTGTATCGAGGCGATTTTCGAGGATTTGGAAATGGTTTTTCTGAATTTTGAAATGGCAAGTTGTTCTGTGGAGGAAAATGTGGATGCTTGGTATAAGCTTTGTAGGAAAGTTAAGGTGTTTTATGAGTTGGGTTGCGTGAAGGGGAAAGTAGGAGAACTAATGTGTAAGAGGAAAGAGCTTATTTTTCCATGTCCAAAAGAGGCTTTGGTTCGAAAAGCAGAGTACTTTTGTAAATTCGGTGTTAGAAAGGATGATGTGGGATTGCTACTTCTTGAGAGTCCAGAAGTTTTGAATCTTGACTTGGAAACACCGGTGATATCGGTGTTAGGATTTTTGGAACACTTTAGATTGGACAAGAAAGAATTGCAGTTCGTAGGCGAAAAGTACCCTCATGTGTTGGGTAGAAATAAAATGGCTAATCTACCTCATGTAATGAAAGCTTTGAGTCTACGTGAATGGTGCTTCAACAAAATTAGGAAAACTAACGGTCGGTTATTGGCAACGTATGCCATCAGTGGCCCTGATGAAGATGTGGATAAGGAGTTCGTAGATGCCTTGGAGAGGATCAAATCTTCAAGGTGGGCGACTCATGCAATGAGTAAAGTGGATTTCTTGAGAGGAATCGGGTTTGGAGAGAATGGTTCAACTGTAAAGGTTCTAAAGTACTTGCACGGGACTAGAAGTGAGTTGCAGGAACGGTTTGATTGTTTTCTTCGACTAGGTATTGAACACTCAAAGGTTTGTTTGATGATAAAAATGGAGCCTCATATACTTAGTATAAGCCCAGAACTATTAGAACAGAAGGTGAATTTTCTGTGCCATGAAATGGGATCTTCTTTACAATACCTTGAAGGTTTCCCAGGATTTTTGTCGTATGACTTGGAAACACGGATTAAACGCAGATACAGACTTTATGTTTGGCTTAGAGAGACGGGCTTGTCTACCAAGAGATACTCTATTGCGAGCATGCTTTCTGCCACTGAAAAGAAGTTCATAATACGCCTTCTTAAAATTCACCCAGCTGCTGCAAAACAGTATTTAGAGTGTTTCTAATATGAAAAACACCTGTCATTGATTGTGAGGAGACATCTTTGACTTGAGCCTTTTAACATTGTGTCCAGAATATCGTCGGGAAGCTTATCTGATAACGAGACCTTTAAAATTGCCCCTTCATGGATGATTTATGTGCTTCTATTTAATGTCCGGCAGGGTGATCATGAGTTTGCCTCCCTAGAATTCTTGTTCTCAAATACCAACACCGGATTCTTTTGCTTGCATTTTTAGGACTGCAGCAACTGGGGTTGCTGACGATCCTATGGCTGAGATTTACTTTTGATCGAGTGTTTTTCGCATATATGAACATTGTTGTTCTGCTCTATTGTTGTGTGGTATCAAAAGCAGATCTCATGTCTTGTTTCCCTCCAAAAAAGTGGGTACAGAATTGAGAATTCTCTGGAAGGCGGGATAGATGCATCTGTAAATGTGTTTGCAATGCCAGTGCATCATGAATAATGGTGGCAATCTGTATGATGAAGTTCATTTCTACGCCTTCTAAACGATCAATTACCATCAATACTTCTCTTGCATATTTGGGTTTGAATGATCATTTAGCTTGATTGTGCAACCTCCAAAATTGTTCTTTTCCGGAATTACTCGTATAACGAAAGAGGAACCCTTCGAGCCCAATGCAGATTTTTGCAAGTGTAGTGCTGCAAACTGAAGTGAGTATTGGAGAATTGGGGGGTCATATATTTTAATATTGTTCAAAATAGCATTTTTGACTTTATCATTGAGCAATTTGGTTGAGATCAGCTCTCGTAATGTGCTTGGGAGGAGAGAGAAAAGCTTTATGTGTTTTAGCGCCTTGAAAATATCAGAAAGCAGTTCATGGTAGCTTTCCAATGTCTTGTTTAAACACGATTAGCATCATGATCATTTTGTGTCTCGTTTGATTCAAATTTCAGTTTGTTACCATAGCATTCATATAGTGAAAAATTGTATGCCTCACAAAATTCTCCACATATGTCAAAATTAATTCTGCCAGAAAACAATAATTTATAACGCAAACTCTAACTTGGAAACCAGAGGAACATTAAAACATGTATATCATTGGTACAAAATGTAAACCAACATGCTTGTTTTGCCAGGTGTGTTTCTTGTATTAGGCGAGGGGCTGTCCAATGAGCTCACGATTATGTGACGTGGCAATGAGATACTGGATTGTCCTAAACACAAAGCATCTAGAAAATTGCAACATAGACCAATCAATAAAATTAGCCACACAGATGACTATTCCAATATCCAATTAAGAAAAAACTAGCTTGAAAAGTCTACAATCGTAAAAGCTGTAGTCTTAGCAGTAAGATTGTTCTAAAATCTTCTCCTCTAACAAGAACAACGCAAATGGAGCTGAAAACAGAACCATTTTTCATCAACATTTCCTGATACAAGAAAGAGAGAAGCAGACCGTGCTGAGAAACACAAGCCACCCAAACGAGGCAAAGAGTTTTAAACTTAGCATCCATCACATGGCGGTCCAAGTACGACAGTGTCGAGTGGAGAAGAGCAAGAGCGATCAGAGCTGCATGTGAGACTAAAAGGGCTATGGGAAGCTAACGCTGGTGGCATCTGAGATAGTCATTGTTAAACGCATGATGAAACACGTCCTGGAGCAGACCAAATTGGATTACAAACTTCACGGCTCTACAAACCTGATCGGCCATTACTGGCGACACCGAGAGAGGTTGCTAGGAGCGGCTATGGAGGCGGCAACCAGAGAGGTGCATGGCAAATCCACAAAAACAACTTCAATAATAACATGCATATAGACTTAGGAGGATTGTGCTCCTAGACCTGAAAAAGGCTACGATTTATATGCAGGAAGGAGCATCTGACAAGTAACAAATAATAATAATAATGGCATAAGAAAATAAAAAACCTCACAATTTGTTACACTTGCGTGTAGTGTAGCACATCTAAAGCTATATTTTCGGCCATATGTTACTATTTACTCAATCGCAAAAAGGGCAACTTTAATACTTTTATAAAATTAATTCAAACGAACCAAAAAAAAAAAAAATTGAAATATCACGCGAATAGATATATTTTTTATTTTTTTTTTAAAGACTGCTGGACTGGAGCTATGCGGATTGACACGCTGGCAGAAGCACAACTTGGAGCGGATAAAAGAAAAGGAGAAAAAAGATAACTACGTAAAATAAATCATAACTTAATTCAAATAAACTTAATTCAAATAATTTAAAATAATCTTATCTAACTCATAATTCTAAGGTGAGGACTTATCTCCTAATTTAATTTAAATTAATAAGAATAATCCAAACTTTAAAATAGAGGATAATTATTTCCTTTCTTGGATATTTAATACCTTTAGAAGCATTACTAATCTTCACTTTGAGCAATATTCCATAACTTCTTCTGATATTCAATAAACAATGGCTTCAAGGAGTTCGTTGATCATCATGAGCTCCTTCCTCATTATATTCGTTTTACTCTCTTCCATGAGTTCATGTTCTGGCAGGTTTCTGAACGATCAACCAATCCGTGATCATGTTGATCATTCGACATATACCGTTGATGATCATCATCATGATCACGATCATGGCAATTTAAAGAACTACTTGATCGACTCAATGGCTCGGCTTTTTCGCTTTGAGAGGTCTCTCATACAGGAAGATGCAGGACTAACAATACTCAACGTTGATGATTTTGGAGCTGAAGGGAATGGTATTAATGACGACAAACAAGTACGTGTAATAAACATTGATAATATGGTGTAGTCTTTCCGCTATTAATATCACTTAGTTTTTTTTTTTTTCCTCACTGTAGAAACCTGAAAAACTCCATCTCTTTTTATTATTATTTTAATTTTGCACATACTATATTTATCGTCACTTCTTTAATTTTGATTAAAATATCCCACAAAGAATTATCATAAGGTTCAAGCATAGATATGAGGATTCGTTCTACAGAAAGATTTAACCAACCTGTGTAAAGAGGTTGACTATAAAGAAATATATGTATGCATGTAGGTTTAAGACGAGTCTTGATCAATTTGAAATTAAAGTAAAGAAATATACGTATGTATGTATATATGTATGTATGTGCGTTTATATATTTTTGTGCGTGATGAGTTAAAAATATTTATCCCTGCTTGTTATTTTAGTTTATTTGGTCTCATCTTATATATATAGCGGTGTTTGGTATGCAATTATCAGTATGAATCGCACTATGTATTATCACATTTGATTACATACAATAATATTCTTTTAGATTACCAATAATAGCAATAGTAATCTTGTTTTAGATTACATGATATGAAAGTACGTTTATATCTGTGTTTGGTGTTGGAATTGGCTCTTTTATTTGTGGGCAGGCATTTGAGAAGGCGTGGGAGAAAGCTTGTTCATCAACGGGAAGAACGGTTCTCGTGGTGCCTCAAAAGACGTATCTGACTAAACCAGTCAAATTCCAAGGCCCATGCAAATCCAATAATCTTACTGTTCAAATTCGAGGGACTATAGAAGCTTCTGATAACCGCTCAAACTATATTGATAAACACTGGCTTCTCTTTGAAAACATCCAAAATCTCTCTGTTGAAGGCGGTGGGACCCTCGATGGCAAGGGACAAGTGTGGTGGGATCATTCATGCAAATTTCACAAATATCACGTAAGTCATATATATACTTTTTATGTCGTTTTATAACAGCAACTGATGTGACATGAGATCAGTTGTTATAGCCGTTATTTTATAATTTGTAAGTCAGTTTAAAAATTGTCACTGTCTATTAATATTAAGAAATTATATTTACCTAAAAAATAATAACCAAATTTGCTATACATTCAAAAGGCTAACTAGCTCTTTTCTCTCTGTGGATATTTGCAGCCTTGCACTACTTCAGCGCCAACGGCATGTTCTCTAACCCACATTGTTATATTTATTTATTTATTGCATATTGTTAGAAAATACTTTCGTATATTATATATGTTCTGCTATTGATTTGGAGATCATGACCATGTCTTATATATAAAAAAAATGTGTGTGTGTGCGTGTCTTGGCAATATTGCATGCAGGCGTTGACTTTTCGCAAGTGTGATAATTTGGTTGTGAGGGATTTGAAAGTAAGAAATTCACCGCAAATGCAAGTTGCTTTCGAGAAGTGCAAGAAAGTCAGAGCTTCGCATCTCACTGTGACTGCACCAGGGAATGCTCCCAACACAGATGGAATCCACATCACACACACCCAAGATATTGAGATCTCTAACTCTGATATAGGAACAGGTACACATATTTCCATTTACATCAAATTAAAAAACTAAATACATACCCCTGATTAGGGTACGTAATCTAGTGGTAATTAACTACCATAGTAGGTCTGTGATCAAAGATTCCAGTGTACGTAAGATAATTCTATTTGAGATTTTAAATGTGAAGATTTGCCCTTACTGAGTTGATATTCGATGGAACGTTTAGAAGGGAGATTCGGGCCATGATTCGAATTATGGTTCGCGGTTTGTCACAGTATTTTCTCTCATAAAAAATACACGTAAAATGAGAATGATTCTGAATCATAATTCTGAATCTATGAACCAAACGTCCTCTAGATATCTGAGGTCGCCTCCTCCGGAACTTTTCTTCAACTAAAAGAAATACGTTTAAAAATTCAAAAGTCTAATTTCCTAATATAAATGTGAATTTATTTTCTATTATATTAGGGGATGATTGTATTTCTATTGTGAGTGGGACTCAAAAAGTGCGAACAACGGACATAACATGTGGACCTGGTCATGGAATTAGGTAACTTATTCATCACTTTTATGCCAACTCTTTTTTTTTTTTTTTTCCCATTGATTTTTACTACTTTTTGTACTTGAATACTTTGAATAATGCTCTTTTTTTTCCCCTTTATATAATATGTTTCATTATTTTCTTCAGTATTGGTAGTTTGGGAGGAGGAAGCTCAGAGGCCCATGTATCGGATGTAATAGTAGACAGAGCAAAGTTTTCTGGAACTTCAAATGGAGTTAGAATCAAGACTTGGCAGGTAAAAAAAAAAATCACACTATTTCAATTCAGATAAATATTCTCATAAATTTCGTGTGTTTAATTTCAAGTGTGTGACGTGGCCGCGTCCAAATGCAGGGAGGTTCAGGAAGCGTAAGCAATATAAAATTCCTTAACATTGAAATGAACAACGTGTACAACCCCATCATAATAGACCAAAATTACTGCATTGAGAAAAAATCATGCAACGAACAGGTACAAAATTTTGTTTATTCTTTATAATAAGCTTCACATTAATTTATATACGTATATTATAAATATATGTTTCTCAACAGAACTCAGCGGTCGAAGTGAGAGACATATTGTACCGAAACATCACTGGCACGAGTGCTGCAAAAGTCGCAGTAAAATTCGATTGTAGTAGGAGCTTCAAGTGTGAGAACATTGTGTTGGAAGATGTTGATATACGACAACATCGTGGAAAAGACGAGGTTGAAGCTTCGTGCAAGAATGTTGAATTGACTGATTTTGGTGTCGTTTCCCCACCCTGTCCTCATGCCCACGAAGGAAGGAAAAACGACAATACTGCGCCTCCTCCGGTTCAACAACCAGGACAAGGAAAAAACGACACTGCACCGCCGCCTCCAGTTCAACAACCAGGACAAGGGAAAAACGACACGGCGCCGCCGCCTCCGGTTAACCAACCAGGACAAGGGAAGAACGACACTGCGCCGCTGCCGCCTCCGGTTCAACAACCAGGACAAGGGAAAAACGACACTACTGCACCTCCTCCGATTCAACAACCAGGACACGCCACTAGGCCTCCGGTTCAACAACGAAGACACCATCATAATCACAGAAGTCACCACCATCATCATCACAGAAGACACCATAATAATCATAGAGGAGGGGGCCCCACTAGGCCTCTTCCGGTTCAACAACCAGGACACGGCAATGATCACAAAGAAGGCCCTCCGGTTCAACAATCAGTGTTTAATGTTGATGACTTTGGAGCTAAAGGGAATGGAAAAGATGACACAGCGGTATGTAAGGCAAGCTAGATTTTTTTTTTTTCTCATTGATGTGACTTGATGAGAGGGGGAAAAAAGGGTGTTAATGGCTTCTAATTATAAAAGTGTGTTAATGGGGCTTTAGAAAAAGTTTCAAGGATTTAGGCACGAGACAAAAGATTAGTCATATGTTTTTAATTAATGTGTGGTTTGGTTCTATATATGCTTAAACAAAAACACTATATATATATATATATAGACATGACACACACATTTGTCTTGCAGGCATTTAATAAGGCATTTAACAGGTAATAACTTTTATGTTTCAAAGTCTGCTAGGTTCACAGAAGATTGCTGAAGTGGTAATTACTTAAACATGTTTGGTTTTAATTTTAATTATGATATTCGACAGGGCTCGGCGGTTCAAGTGAAAGATGTGCTGTAGCAGAACATCACGGGCACAAGCACATCCGATGTTGCGATAAGGTTCGATTGCAGCAAGAGCTTTGTGTGCCACGTTAAAAAATGTTGACTTGCGACGCAACAAAGGAGACATGGCAGCTGAAGCTTTCTGCAACAACGTCGAATTCACCGAGGACACGTCTTTAGCTATTTAGTTTTTATTTTTTTTTTAATTTCATTTTGGCATTTTCAAAACATGGGATTATAAACTTTTTATTCTTTAAAATGAAATAAATAATTATTCATTTTATTTTAAGTTTCTTCTTGCTTCTCTTGTTTTATAACAATTTTAGAACAATAATGTCACCTGTTTATTTAATACTTCGCCATTCTGGTTCTGCCTATCCATTTATAGCTTCAAAAAGTACTATAAAAAAGATTCAACTCTTTTCCACTTTGACCCTAAAGGCTTAAATAGAGCAAAAAGCGAAATGAGTAAATATGAAAGTAGGCCTTGAATATCATTTTCTAAAGGTAGAAGTATGCTCAAAAGAAAACAACTAAGTATTAAAGCTAACCAAACATATAAATCATCTTGAAAATTGCAGTGTAGACGACTATTTGAAGATCCAATTAACCAAAAACAAAAGTAACATTCACTAGTTTTGATACTATTGACGAGAGGTAACATTGGTCGTTTTACTAACTGAAGGTTGAGTAATGATCTGACATACTATTCAATCCAAGAGGGGATTAAATACTGCTCCGGCGAAAACAGCGAGCATAGAAAACTCTTCGACGATCATGAACATGAAGGGATGATCAGCCACAAAACTTGGTTTCTGAACGGGCACCCGGCCCCTTGCAAACCCGATTATACCATAAAAGGTCACTGCAGCAGCCTCGCTCCCTTCTTCATTGACTTCAATACAAGCCTTGTGGTGAATGGTACCAACGAAAGCATTGTCGGGATTAGCATCAACCATGTTCGTGAAATCACCATGCAGTTGATCGAAAGGCAATGTTAATCCTTCCGGTTTCAGGAGTTCTGTCACTTGAAAGCCATAGGCGAATTTCATCTTCGGAATCTTTAGCTTTAAAAGTTCCACTTCTTGAAGACCAAACTGCCAGGGTTGCGGCATTAATGTTGGATTGAAATCAAACTTTTTGATGAGATCTTGTAGTCCATCATTTGCACGAGGGAGAAAGATGTACATTGAGAATTGCATGTTTGTGCATTGGCCAATCTCATATGGGAGTTTCAGAAGCTGGAAATCCTCAAATGATCCATACTGGTGGTACTCATTGTATTCACTCATGAAAGGAACTTTGATAGTTTCTCCATTCAAAAGGTGAAAATCTTGAGGGCGAGTGGAGGCAGTCTTAAATATCCTTACCCAGTCTCCTTTAAAATACAATGCGTTTGCGAGGCAGAGTGGCGGCCAAAGTTCTTCCGACGAGTCCAAGATCTTTTTGATGAGCCCTTTTGTCTCCTTCGCAACCCACGAATTCACCTCGTTTTTAACTTGGTCAGCCTGTCGTGTACAAATTATGAATGATTCTCATATATTCAATACAAATGAAGAGAAGCTAAACACAAAATTAATGTTCTCATCAGTCAGCAATTTTATATTTCTTCGCCTAAATCGTTGCTAAGAGTTCAAGAACCAAAAAGTTAAGTCAGAAACTGAATAGTGACTGTAATTTATGTACTTGTAGAGTTGGTTTGTTTGACAAGAGGAAAAATAATTTATCCTCTTAACTTGGGACTGCCATTTGGTTACTATATGACAGAACTATACACTTTGCACGACTTGATTTTCGGCTCTTCATGAATTGATATGATTATTTCATAAAATTCAGAGATTTTTGCATTGCATTTGATATCTGAAAATATTCTTGCCATCTTAAAGCTGGCCTAAATCTTGCTAAGATAAGTTCTAGGACCATATTAAAGACACAGTAATTCTAATTATATATTGACTACAATTGCGTAATACTACTAAGTGAAACACATATTTTTGGAGTGTCCTATAAAACCAATTGTTTGAGAAAGAAAAAAGATTGCCTATTTCGGTAAAATAAAACTAAGGAATACTCTACCACATGAAAATCTGAGATATAAGACCTAAAGCTTTTTCAAAAACGAAAATAAAAAAGAAAAAGAGTACTGCACCTCATTAACCAAGTCCACATTCTTGACTTGTGCTTTGTAAATGGAATTAGTGATTTCTTGGTAAGAAGATTTCTAACGATAATCAACCCAAAGGGCGTTAACACAATTAAAGAGCGGCGGTTTTCCTTGTCGTTTCTTGGGAACTGAATCAAGTCCTATGGTGTTGTTTTGGGAATTTTGGGTCGTATCAACAAGAAGGGACATCATGGTTAAAGACTTGGAGTGGAGATCATCGAGGTCTTTGCAGCGAAGAAAGCCCAAGAACTGCTCCAAAGTTTTGCCTGAAGAGCCAGAAGCAAGCATATTGAGGAACACGTTGATTGATAAAGGAGACAACACTACGTTTTTTGGGCCATATTTATTCTTAAATTCTTTGAGCATAACCTTCTTTGCCACGCTCATGCAAGAAATCATGGCTACTTCGTCTTCTTCTAAGGTTTTAGGGTTTTCTACATGAAGGACAGAAAGGAGAGATGTGGAGGATATATAATATCAATATTTGATGACGTGGGCGGATAAAAATCCAATTTTATTAATAATTTTTAAATTTTTTAGTCAATTATCTTATTTATTATAACTTTATATGTTTAATACATTCTCATTCTTTTAAGTACATATATGTTTTATATTTCTCTTTAATACATTCTTTTAAGTACATATATGTTTTATATTTATGCTATGAAAACCAGGTAGTAACGCCTTGCCAGGGCGGTTACAATAGGTAGGCATTTTTTTTAATCATTGCTTATCATCTAAGCAATCATTTGGATTATGGTTACAAGAACAACCTAGTGGTAATTGCACAGCTAATTATTCAGTCAAAGTGTGGAGTTTAAAATTTAAAATACCCCACTTTCATTTTTTTTTTTTTTATTAAAGCAATCGGCTGGGTTTTACTGATATAAGAACCTTGTAGGTATACCCCATTTTTCCTTTTTTCCCCAAAAATATAAATGGACTCAATTGATTATTGTATTCTGCAAAAAACAGCAAATATGCATTATACTTGTAACTAATACATATTGTTAGAAGTATTAAAACTTTTGATTTGTCAGGCTACTTGTTAAACTATAAAAACTATTGTTAGCTCACTTTCTAATAGCTTAAGCTTTTGAGATAAATTGGTAAACTAACATGGTATCAGATTCAAACCCCGTAATTGCACTCTTTATCCCCATTTAAAATTGTCATCATGTGTTGGGTCTTTAATATATCTCGGACTTAAATATTCACGTGTTGGGCTTTTCAATTAATTTACCTACATGATTGCCCATTGTCCAGCCCACACGTGAGGAGGAGTGTTAAAGTATAAAAACTATTGTTGGCCCACCTCCTAATAGCTTAAGTTTTTGGGATTGATTGGTAAACTAACACTACTTAACAAAAGTCGAGGAACAAAAGTCGAGGAATATACGACTGATCGGCAGCCGCCAATAAAAATTTAGCTTAGTCAATTGAAAAACAAAGCAATGTAATATTTTTTCAATTCAGTTAAAAAAATAAAAAAGAAACACTACATGAATTAAGAACCCAAGCTAACAAAACGTATAAACATCTTGAAAATTGCAATATAGACGACTACTGTTCCAACGATTTAAAACAAAGCCATACATTATTACTATTTCAAGATCCAATTAACCAAAAAGAAAGGAAACTGTCACTGGTTTAGGTATTGATACTATTAAAAAGAGGGGATTATTGCTCATTTTACTAGTTAAAGGTTGAGTTACTTCAATCCAAGAGGGGATTAAATACTGCTCAGCTGGGTCAACCAAAGGGAAGGAAAAAAGGAACTAAAATAGAAAGACACAGGAGGGCTGTTAAAACCCCTCTTAAACTAAAATGAAGATTTTGTACTGGAACATTCGGGGGATTGGTAATCTCCCTACTCAAGATTTTTTTTATCAGAGCTATGTTTTCGACATAATCCGATGTTTTGATTTTGTCCAAGCCTATGGTGGATATTTGTTCTATCTCTGCTGCTTTTTAGAGTAGGTTGAGCCTTGTTCCTCGGTTTACCAATAATAGGGAGGGTAAGATTTCGAATCTTTGGGTTTTGTCTAAAAAAGATTTTGCCGAGTTGGTTTTGGTTAAGAATTCTTGTCAATAGGTGACTTTTGATGTTGGGGGTCTGAGAGTTTGTTGTGTTTATGCTAGTGTTTTTGTTCGTGAAAGGAGAATCTTTTGGGGTGACATTTTGCAGATTTGTGCTTCCAATTGGTCTTTTTTGGCCCTAGGGGATTTTAATGCCATGTTGGGTGCTCATGAGAAGAAAGGAGGTAATGTGCCTAATAGGATCTCTTGTTCTGAGTTTATGAATATGATCAATCATGGTGGTCTAATTTCTTTGAATCTTAAAGGATCCTTTTTTTACTTGGAATAATGGTAGAGGAATTAAAAAGCACGTTGAAATGAGGCTTGATAGAGCTCTTTCTTCGCAAGGTTGGCTTTCTCATTGGGATGTTGTGAATTGTTTTGCTTTGCTGAGGCACTTATCTTATCATTGTCCGTTTGTAGTTTCCTCTAGAATGAATGGTGATTTGAGCATTCCTATATATCATTTAGATTTTTATCTATGTGGGTCGATCATCTTGATTTTCTTTTATTTTATTAAGGAGGCTTGGGGTTCTTTTAAGGTTGTTGGGTGCCCTATGTATATTTTGGTACGAAAACTGCAGCTCTTGAAGCCTTTGCACAAAAAGTGAAATTGGGAGGTTTTTGGAAATGTTCGTAGGAGTGTGGAGAAGGTTATGAAGAGTTTGGAGCTTTTTCAGGCAGTCGATTGTGATTTTTCTGAGGAGAGGTTTCAAGAAGAGTTGCTCATTTATCATGAATTACAGCAAGCTTGTTAGTCAAATAATTACACTAATAAAAAGGTACTTATCAAGAATAAAGGATAAAGGGCCAGACTCATGCATTCTCAATAGTAAATTCTCTATTTTTTTTCATAATAATATGCAAGAAACAAGAAAGCCTTTTCCATCAGTAGTAAGCTTTTTTTTCTTTAAAAAAAATAGAAAAAATATTATATTCGAGAGTGTTTTTAACACTTAAATGCTAAATATGCAATTAGTATATCAATTACAGCATTATGCTCCAATTTGATGACACGACAATCATCTTGTTTTGACAAATCCTCAATTGGCATTGCCAGGAACTTTCATAACCATGAGTGTGTAAAGAGGTTGGTCTCTATTTTAAACAAATGCATGGATAGTTCTTTTTTGGTGGAATAATGCGCACTAAAGAAAATAAAGTTAAGCCAATTGCTTACCATGTTTGCAATAATTTCCGGGAAAATGAAAAGAATACTATCGATTAGGAAACTTCCAAAATTACACGTCATTTGGCAACGTAACATGCTGTGACCGAAAACCTAATGCATGTCATGGCGTCACTTGCTCAACTACGTCCATGATTTTTCCACATATGAAATTGATAAGAGCAAAGACGCTGGCTGGAAAACTAAGCCCAACAATTAGTGAAAGTTTTCTACAAATTAACGGACTTGTGTTTATTTGCAAAAGATTTCCATTAAACCTTTATCGGGTCCAATACGTGAGTCAGCTGGCAAAACGTGTTACATGTAACACGATACGACCACAAATAACACGATTGGCACGAAATTGAATAGATTTATTAATTTTTTTTTAAATATATATTTTTTTAACACACTTTTTTAAATAGATTTAATTTAAATAAAATGAGAAAAAAGTATTTGTCATTTATATTAACAATGTAAAATGTAGATAAATGCACTAAGTAAATAAATTAACATTTAAATTATTTTTATTTAGTCGTGATAGTATAAATCTGAGTGTCGTTTTTATTAAAATATGATATAAAAATTTAGATCGATACGAATACGACTCAAATTACCTTTATACGTCAATTTCAAGCATCAGCATTTAGCAGGGGGGGAAAAAAAAAAAAAAAAAAAACTCAACGGTAGTAATGCATTCCATGTATCTTTAATCCCATTTATTAAAATATTTTTGCAACGTTCTTTTTACGTTATTAGAAAGGTGCTCCAATTTTGGACATACTTTAGAATAGAAGATTCTTTGTCACTCGTATCCTTGTGTTTTCTCGTTTCCGTCGTTTCTATAAAGTAACAAACAATGTCGATGCTTGTTCTGCCATTCGCCACCAGATTCTCAAAACTCCTCTTCAACAACTACTACAACAACAAAAAGTCTCTTCTCTCTCCTCCAATGGCAGCTCAATCTCAATCCACTCCAAGCCACCACCAAAACGTCGTCGTCTTAAGGCACGGCGACCGCCTCGACAACATAGAGAAAGACTGGGTAAAACAAGCCTCGAAGCCCTGGGATCCACCTCTGCACGAATCGGGCCTGACCCGGGCATTCAACACGGGTCGGACGCTCCGAAACGGCAACGGATTCCCGATCCACCGAGTCCTCGTCTCCCCGTTCCTCCGGTGCGTCCAGACCGCCGTCGGCGTAATCTCCGGCATCTCCGCCGGTGCGGAGACCGATCTGAAGGTCTCGATCGAGTACGGATTGTGCGAGATGCTCAACGGCATAGCCATTCGTTCTGCTCCGAAAGATTGGGAATTCGTCATCGATGTCGCGGACCTCGAGGCGAGGTTCCCTTCTGGAACTGTGGATCGCTCGGTTGAACCGGTTTACAAAGAGGTGATTGCAAGACTCGTTCTCGATTTTTTTTTTCCGTCAAATGTTATGAATTTTGCCCTAATTTTGGCTGTTGAAATTTTCGATTGCAGTTGCCGAAGTGTCCAGAGGAAGTGGACGGAGCGAGGGAAAGATACAACCAAGTATTTAAGGCTCTTGCGGATAAATACCCCAATGAAAATCTACTTCTCGTCACTCATGGTAATTAGAAAAGATTCAATTTTGCTCATCAGTAATTCAAATGCAAATTTTTGCATTTGGTGTAACTATTTTCATTAAAATTATAGTTTACCAATATAGTGTCAAGAATTAAACACGACAAAAATCAAAAGTTTGGAGAGTAATTTAACAAAATTAAAAGTAACGGGATCAAAGTGCTTATAATTCAAGGCCTATTGTGTTAATATCTCTAAATATCTGTTTATCAGGGGAAGGAGTTGGGGTTGCGGTTTCTGACTTCATGAAGGAGAATGTTACTGTGTACGGTGTTGATTATTGTGCGTATGTAGTGCTGAAAAGACCAGTCGTTTATGGAGAGCCGAATTCGACTTCTTTCGTAGACTTCGAGGTTCAAACACATGAAGGAATAATGTTCATGAACTCGTGATGGATAGTTTCCAAACTTTTAACGTTGCTTGCTCTCCTTTTCAGCACTTGAGCGATTGATGTCGATGACCAGAGATTCATTTTCCGAGGATAGTTCATCTGACCAATAATTTTCATCAGCACCGGTTTTTTTTTTTTTTTTTTTCTCGTATTGTATGATCGGCGACTATATCCTTTGTGGGGTTTTGACTAAGAAAACAGAAAATGGAATGTCAAAAAGAAAATAAAAGAAAGGAAAAAGAAGCTTTTTTGTGTTTTTGGTTAAAGTCTTTAAAGATCTTGCCTCTGTTTTGATAGTTGTTAGAAGTTACTCTGCTTCTTCATAACAAGTGGTATTATATCTTGTCACTACTTCTCCAAATTGACCAGAAGTTCTGGATTAAAAATCAAAGTTTTGGCTTTTGTCGCCTCATTATAGGGGTGGCGATTCACACCACGTGTCATTTTTTGATCTTTTTTTAAAAAAAAAAAAAAATTGCAATCAATCTACACGATCCGTAATATGAAATTTTTTAAAAACCGCAATACGAACGCGACATGATCACTTTACGAGTTAACACGACACGAAAATAACACGTGAACCCGAAATTGACACAAAAATTATATATATATATATTAGTTTTTTACATATTAGAAATAATTTACAATTCATAACACACTAAACTACAATAACATCCATCAAAATTAAGCAAATAATAGTATAAGATTTTGAATATAACTATCATGATATCACAAATTCATAATAAAATCTAAAATATATTATGAAAAAAAATATTTTTTTAGTTTTTTACGAGTTTTGTGTCACGTTCGAGTTAGGCATGTCTAATTTGAAATTGACTCTGTGTTTTTTGTGTCAATTTCAAGTCGATCCAATTCTGACCCGAACCTTTTTTTTCTCAACCCTAACCTGTAAAGTTCGTGTCGTTTTTGAGTCGTATTGTCATGTCGTGATCTATATTACCGGCCCTACTTAATTAGCAAGTTGTAGGACAATCTAAACACACGTATAAATGGTAGAAATTCGATTTTAGCGCTACAGAGCACGAGCTTACTTCAGATAATTAATAAGAACAAGATCGATGGCAGACAATTGATTAGCATAGACCAAAGAAGAGTCAAAATTGCCAAATAAGCTGTCGTCCGAGTTAACAACTATTGGTTCCTTATGATCCTTGTGTTTCTGAACCAATTACATTATCAGTTTGTTGGATTCTGGCAATAATGTGGGCTCTGTTAAACAGACAGTGAGCAAAAAAGAATTTTAAATGAAAACTCGGGGTGATAGGGCGGTCACTTTCTCATCATCATCAGAATTTACAAGAACTCGATCGACAATGTTACAATGATCTTCGGATAAACATATACAAAATCATTTATTAAAAATGTTGGACTAAAAATATGCAAAAGACTGTCAATCATCTCGTGCTTTTGGACGAATCCCGCAACTGGTCCTTATATTTGCACCGACTTCCAGAAAGTCTTCAACCTATGAAAGTATATGCATATTGGGTTAGTTTTTGCATGATCATTGTTTTTATTCACCAATGCAAAAGCTTCTTCTTAGCTAACAAAACCACACATAGAAGGGAAATCTTTAAGAGAAAACGAAAGTACCCGTGATTCGTGAAACTAAGATCCAAACTCAACAAATTAACACAAAGAAGAAGAGAGACAAAAACAAGCTATGGGATCGGGACTTTGGAAGTCAATAACAAAACTTTCAAATTCCGTTGCTAAGAACTTATCATTCTAGGTTCATAACTAACTAGTCGTTAAGAACTCTGAAATCTCAACTATCCATCATCACTATTTTGCTTCATTCTAAGGCAGAAATGTTACAGAAATATCTATATACCTCAATACATTCATAATCTAGTTTGTTTGCTTTCCTAATTTTCTTTATTATCCAAGAAAAAAAAAACTAACAAAAGGTTGATTTTGGCAACAAAGTCGCCATCTTTATCAATAGAAATACTCAAAATACAATAGGAAATAAATGTTAACAGTCTTCAAAACCCTTTTTTTTTTTTTTTTTTTTTTTTTTTATTTTGGCAACAAAGTCGCCATCTTTATCAATAGAAATACTCAAATGCAATAGGAAATAAATGTTAACAGTCTTCTAAACCCTTTTTTTTTTTTACCCCACTAAATAAAAGAAAACTAAACGAAATTGAAAGAAATTGAAAAGTATATGCGATCTAGAGAGAGAAAGGACGAGAGAGAGAGAGAGAGGGAGACCTTGTGGATGCCAGAAGCATGAAGAGCGGAGAGGGAGGCGGAGGCGGCGGCGCCGACGAAGAGAGAGGCAACGGCGAAGGCCTTGAGGGGCATGAGGTTGGAGTGTCCGGCGTAGCCCTTTTTGAAGGATGCTACGCCCCACCCCAATTGGGCCGCGCTGGCGGCTGCCCACCACCTCCAGTGGCTGTGGGTGTGGGTCCCATTCCCATTCCCAATCTCAGCATCTGCTTCTGCTCGGAAGTCTTCCTCCGCCATCTCATTCACCCTCTGCTGTGTTTTCCTCTCCTCTTCGGTTTGCTCGGCTTCGTCTCGTTAAGGTGGGCTTTCAATGTATCGGCCTTTTCTTCAGTTTGGGCTTTACGTAGGGGCCCAACATGAGTGCATTACTCCTCTTTTCTTCTTTTCTTCTTTTCCTTTTTTTTTTAAATATAATATATTTTTTAAAGAGATTTTTTTCATGTGAATTTTTTTTATGATTGGTAAATGAGAAGTGCATGAAAATACACTTAATTTGTTCATAATTACTAAATAAATTAATTTTTAATTAAATATTTTTGTCGAATTAATATTTTGTGAAAGTATTTGATTTTAATTTAATTTAATTTGTTTTGTAAGGAAATAAGACATTTGGCCCAAAACTAAAAGAAAAAGAAAATGAAGCCCATCAGCAAGCCCAGCCATCCGCTGAGCCAAGCCGAACCGAGCCGAGCCGGCGAATCCGCATGCGCCATGTGTCATTTTCTTGCACGCTTCAGCCGTGTGGGACCCAGCTGTCCCCTGTTGCACACGCGTTTGGCGTGCACTGCTCCCTCCCCGGGCAAGTTCCTTCCACGCGAGCGTCAGGCATTTCTTCAGTCCTCTCCGTGTGGGTCCCGCTGTGCAGCCGTTCTCCAACCAGCTCCTGCCACGTGTTCCCCGTGGGACCCAGCTGTCGGCCATTTCCTCCTTCCGCCTCTCAGCTTGCGCCACGTGTGTCGTGCACAGTAATGTTTCTTTCTCTTTAGCGCGCCACGTGTACTAGCTGTTGCACCCTTCACTTCCTTCGGTTCCAAGCGTTTCTGATGGTTTTTCTTCCTACTTTAATCGGCCTTTACTCCCAAAATAAAGCATTGTAAATTCCAATTTAATTGGAATACGTTCCTTTTCTTCTTGTTACTGATTGCAACTTTTGGCATCGCGTAGAAACTTTATAAATAAGGGCTTTGTTTAGTGTATTGTGTGGTTGGTTTTTGAGCTTAAGTTTAGACACCTTTTTCTCTAATTGGTGAGGTTAGAGAGAAACCTATATGTGAAGTGATCTTGAGTGAATTTTGATTCTCCATTTGTTCTTCAAAGTTTATATATTTGAGTGATTAATTTTCTTCTATCTTTTTCTAATTTCTCATATTGATATATTTTGTTGTCAACTTTTATATAAATTTAGTCATGCTCTTTTTATGTAATTGTTACTCAATATAATTATATCGATAATATTATTTTATGAGTAATCTCTTACTGCAATATTGTCAATGGTATATTGTCGCTTTAAGATTTCTTGTAAGAATAATTTTTATTAGGTTCCAACGTAAGAATTTTACTCACTCGAATACATTTTAATTCACATGTTCTTCAAATATTTATTGTCTGATTGTTAGTTTAGGATGTGAAACTTTCAATTGAGTAATCTCAAAAATCAAAATCCATTCAGGTGAACTAAGCATATAGGGGAATCTCGACGCCTTACCGGTTTTAATTATATAGTTTTCTCATATACTTCTCTTATGCTTAAACTTCTCAACAAAAATTTCATTCTCTTTTATTTTTATTTTATTATTTATCTCCTAACGTTTTTTATTTGCTAATCGTTTTTTGTTTAATTTGTCACCTCCTCGTGGGATCAACCATCCTAATTGTGCTACAATTGACCGCTTGTTTTTGTACACATTTGGGCGTAATCAGTAAAAAAAAATTTGTACATGTAAATTATTTTTATCAGTCATAAACGAAACATTTAAACTTGTATAAGATTTTGTCAACTTAAATTAAGTATCCCTTTCCTGAAATAATAATAATAATAATTTTATTATTATTATTATTATTATTATTACAAAAGCAAGTTGAATTTGTGGTCACTGTGAGGAAAATAAAATAAATAAATAAAAAAGAGAATAGTGTACTTGGTAAGTATTCCGATATAATTAAAGGGTGCACACCTCATTTTCTACTTTTCACACCTTTTTTTAGTGTTATTAAAATACCTATTAATAAAACTATTTTTAAAGACAATAATATTTTAAGAAAATACTCATTACACACCCATCATTAAATATATATATATATATATATATATATTGCCTTTTAAAATTTGTTGTGCCTTACTTTTTCGGGAGAATAGGGATGAATACTAATATGAAAGAGCCTCCACAAAAAGATACGCGGTTAAACTTTTTTTCAGCCATGTTATTCACATCTGCAAGAGCAAACTTAAACAGCAGAATCTTCTTACGCGTGCGTTCCAAGGTGTTGGTGTGAAAAATGCATTGAGATGAACTCTTTCCGTGTTTCTCGAAAGATTTTTCACCGAAAACCTGCAAATTGCAGTAGTTACATTTTATAGGTTTTCGAGTTTAGGCAAACAATGCCCAAGGTAAATGGATGAAACAATAAAGCTAAGTTTATTTCACCGATTCGAGATTAGAATTTAAGTTTTGCTACAGTAAAAAAATTTCAGAAACAGTCACATCTAATTTTTTTGCTACACTAAAAAACTCTCACATAAAGTCACATCTCAACTCGAATTAAAAAATCAAAGGAGAATGTTCGTTAATGAAATTTTAAAAATTGAATTAAAAAAAAAAGAAACAAAACAGGACTTTTTTTGAAATTTTAAGGGGGTGTAACAAGTAGAATCGGAGTAAGAATGTGTGTGTAAAAAGTAGAATTGAGGGTGATTTAGTTGTAGGAACTTTTTTAAAATTTTAAGATGAGTGTAACAAATAGAATGGAAGGAGGTTTAAAAATGTGTGTGTGAAAAGTAAAAAATTTGGTGTGAATAGACGCATCCTATAAGTAATTCTTCATTTAAAAAAACAATTTTTTAAACTAAAAATATATATTTGTTAATATAATTAATTGAGGCAAGTTTCATTTGCAGGAAAAAAAATCCAAAAAAGGTGATTCCATTTTAGCCAGGCTTAATTACAACAGAATAAAAGTCGTTAGTTGACTACAATTAATGCATAAGCAAAATGGAGAAGCAAGGAAATCAAGAAAATAATGCTCGCTCTAAATAAGGTAGTTTCCCAATAAATAACGAGGTAACCCCAACGTTTATTCCGTTCTAGAAAATAAAGAAAGAATAGAGAAAACTTGCTATTTCCATAGAGTACTTATCGCTCGAAATTCACGAATCAAGACGCCTATTAGTCTAACAAAATAGGGAAAGTTAATATCAGAAGGGTTAAATTGGTGAAATAATAGGGAAAGTTAAAAGGAAAATAGTAGGAAATAGGTCAATATGAAAAGTTTAAAAAAGTATATAGGCTATTTTTTAGTTATAGAAATTAATAGACCATAATTTGTCAAGTTATGGTTCATAATCAGATAAGTTATAGATAAACTTGTCAAGTTATGGTTCATAACCAGATAAGTTATGGATAAACTTGTCAAGTTATGGTTCATAATCAGATAAATTATGGATAATAACTTGTCAAGTTATGGTTCATAACCAGACAAGTTATGGATGAAAACAGTAATTTAGCCTATTTATTAACTCATGTAAACTATTGGCCTATTAATTTTAATTCATCTCAAGTCTTGTCCTATTTCTCTCTTTCTCCCAAGTTAAAATTGTTTTGTACATATACAAAATAGGTATCATAGTTTATTTAAGGAAAATCTAACAGTGTAAGACTAGGCAATATTAACAATAATTTTTTTAATTAAAAAACCTTTTTTTTTTTTTAGAAGAAGAAGAAGAAGAAAAAAGCCATGAGTACTTTCTGCATGAGCTTGGCAACGGAGGATATGCTCGACGAGATTAAGAATAATGGCTCCAGTAACGGAGGATATGCTCGACGAGATTAAGAATAATGGCTCCAGTAATGTGGTTTTGTCTCCTTTATCAATCAACATGTTCCTGAATATGCTCGCTGATCTGGCGCTTCAGGCCAAACTTTGGAACAATTCTTGCACATTCTTGACTCCAAAGACCTCAATGATCTCAACTCCAAGTCCAGGAACAAGGAACGGTTACCTTAACCAGACCTTGAGCTCTCTGCAATACTCTTTGCTAAATCTCCAATACACTCTGTTCAATTTATTCCCCCCCGGCCCTTTGCGTCTAAGACAAAACGACACCCTCCAAGACATCTCCAAACGACTAAATCTGCATGTCGTTTTTTTCTCCCTCGTCAAGTATAAGAAAAGTTAACGAGGATGAATTGCCCTTTTGAAGCTACAGATCACCTCCCTGCAGGATAATCCGTACAAAAAGATGAAATGATCATTTTTGTAATCTCGGATTATGTACAACTTTAATAGTATACGCAGATATTTAAACCAATACTAAAGAAAGTAGTAGTTATATATTGCCACTAAGATCACAGCAATACTTGTTAATACTAGGTACGTACTCTTTTAATGTGAATATCTGAATGTAGAAAATGAGAAAAATAGGATTTACTACTTTGGATGGTCAAGTATTTATCCTCGAGCACCAACTCTAACCTCATTTTTTGTTACAAATTTTGAGGTGTCATATTTTTATTTGCAAATAGAAGCTTAATTTTTGTTATTTAGAATTAATATTTTCTATAATCTTGTGTAAAAGGTTGAGATTAGAATTAATATTTTCTGACGTTAATATTAATATATCCTATTTCTAATCATGCATAAACAAGAGAGGGAGAGAAAGAGATACATGTATGTAATTTTTTATAGCAATGATTTTTAACGCTACTTGGGTCAAACAATTATTTCCTATAAACACAAAAATTTGAATTAGCCTCTACATAAGCTTCTGTTTTGGGAATAACGGAGTTTAAAACCTGCGAAGGTTAAAAACTTTTGTTCTCCGCGCTAGCTATAAAGTTCCTAGAGAGTGCTAGGGGAGACTAAAGTTAGAAACCGGAAAATTTTGTTTAATATTGTGAAAATTTAATTTATAAGCAGACCCTAATATTATGATTACATAAAATCAATACCTTGAAAAGTTATTGAAGAATAATTCTTAAAGATACTATAAGCACCAATTCCAAGAGTAATTCTTGAAAATATCGTTAGTGTTAAAAAATGATTCGTATGAGAAACTC